AACAAATACAAAAAAAAATATAAATATATACTTTACCGGATTTAATGATTAGAAAATAAAAAAAAAATATTCTCAAGTTGAAATTTGGAAGAAAAAAAAAGAAGGTAACGAATTAAAAAAAGCAAAGACAAAAAAAATAAATAAATACGTTCAAGAAATAACGATAAGAAAAAGTGAAAATAAATAAAAAAAAAATATAAGTGAAATAAAAAAGCAAAACAGAAAAAAGAAATGCGATAAAAAAACAAATAACGATATTAAGTAAAATGATAGGGCAAAAAGTACCTGTCTAAATTTAATAGCAATGATTATACATGTGCAACAGGAGTGCATAAAAAAATATATTATGCATAGTTGTAATCAATTTATATACTCCAGCATGTTGTGATTTTGGAACGCATACTATGTGACAACTCCAAAATATATATATATATAATTTTTTAGGCTATCGTAGCTAATACTATACACTATATATTTCTTTTTCTTTACTTTTTTTTTGCCTTTTCTTTTTTCTCTTAGATATATGTCAGATTACTTTATTATTTTTTTGCTTTTTTCATCTTTTTCTATTTATGATCAAATCATATTTAGGTTGTTTCTTTTTTTTCTTCTTTTATTTTTATTTTTTTTTTTCTTTTTCTAAATTTTTTTTTTTATAAATATGATATTTTTTTTCTTTCTTTATATAAAAGTAAGAAATAAACTATTCTGCCCAAACCTAGGTAAAAAGAGTTTTAAAGAAAGGATAGGTAGTCATAACAAGCTAGTAGAAATCTTCTAGTAATATATATTATTTTCAGTGGTAGGAGTTAATATTTTAAAGGAAAATACCTGCTATAGCAAGTTGCATATAGGTAATTTGGACTTTGGTTACAAAGAGCTAGGTGAGCATATACTTGTAACTTAGGTGGCAAAGATTAGTTCTTTGTAAAATTTAATATTTTTTAGTATAATATTATAAAACCTAATAAAGTATAGGCATGACTGCTAAAATTTTCAATATAAAATCATATCTCTTAATTATAATATTAATATTCAATACAAATTAATCATATACTATATGTTTCTGAAGTTAAATAAGTTAAGTTTGTATAAAATTTTTATTTAAAAATAAAATACATATCACTAGGGATAAGTAAATCAAATCTACTGTAGCTTACATTATAGTTTACTGTTAATGCAAACCAAAATTGTGAAATTTCAAAATATTCTATTGTATAGTATTATAAACTATCATATAATATAGAAATTTTTGGTTAAAATTAATAATTTTAGATATATTATAAATTTTCAAAATAGCAAGCATGGGTGTTATTTTGAGTTTTGGTCTGAATTAGACTTAATTTAAATCAAATTTTGTAATTTTACCCAAGACATTATTTTGAGAATTTATAGTAAATTTTTAGAATTTAAAAATTTTAGAAAATTTGAGTTGATACTTGAAATTTTAGATTTTTTGTAAAAATTTTATATTTAAAATTTTATGAATTCATAGCTTAATGCAAAATTTTATATAAATCTGTAAGCCAGGCTGGGCCAGATATAGTTTTAAATAAGATTTATTTTACAGGTTTTTTTTTTCAGGCTAGGCTCAGGCTTACAAATAATTTTTGAACTAAATTTCTGATTTAAGCAAACCTAGACTAATTTAGCCTGTTCTACACCCTAGTTATAGGTTAGAAAAGTAGTTACTGAGAATATTCTATTGAGGCTCTAGTAGGTTTGAGATATTGATAAAATATATAAAAATGCCTTTGAAGTTAAAGTATTTCTTCAAAAAGCCAATTGTAGGTTCAATTGTATTTTGCTTATTTATGGGTAGAGTTAGTGAAAGTGGTGTGTCAATTACTTTTAAGTAGTTAAGAATTTTGTCTACAGTGATAAATAAGAGAGGTATACCTGACTTAGCATTTGAACCAAAGATTATCTTAATTTAGTTATTAAAGATTTGACAGAAGTAATAATGTTTTCTAAGTACTTGAGCTACATTTACTAACTGCCTGAAGCTAGTGATATTTACTAATATTACTAATTCTGGTTTTTTAAACAACAAGGATTTATTAGTAGAATTTGCTGTCATGTATTGTAAAAGTAATAGGATATTAAATTTGTAATTAGAGTGTATATAAGCTATAAATTCTTTTGCTAAGTATATGTTGGCTATTAAAAAGTTGTATTTTTTTCTGTTTCAACTTGTAGAAGATTGGCAGATAGAAGTTTTTTCTGAACGAAGTAATCATTTGGTATCCTTCTAAAGCTATAATGCTCTTTTAGTAAGTTTATATAATTTTGGAAGTCAATATATCTCTGGGATTGTACAGAAAATAATTACAAGTTGCCAAATTCAAGTTGTATAGTGTTGATAGCAATTTGGGCTTTGCAGAGGTAGATTGAAATATATTGGTAGCATTTGCTATACATCATAGTATTTTATCAATTTTTATTTGTATTTTACTAAATAGAGCAGATTGGACATTTCATAATCAGAAATAAGTCTAACTTTGAGGTTGAGTTGAGAAGGGTCATTGGAAAGTTTCTTAAGTAGGTTCACAAAGAAAGTGTTAGAGAGTTTCTCAAAGAAGAAGATTTTTCTTATAGCTAGAATAGTGGCTCTTGTTAGCTTTCTGTTCTGTATTGGGAGTGAAAAGGGTAAAATTTTGGTAACAGAGGCAAGGATCTTCTGGGAATTAGCTAGTAACTGAATAAGTTGTCATGAGTACGTATTTTCAATCAGTTTTTGAATATCTTCAAATTCCTCAGAGCAGGTTATTTTTGCAAAGTTTAGTGCATAGAAAATAAAGCATGCACATTTATGGGGCTGGTGATTAAGAAATTGATATTGCAGATAAAAAAATTTTCTAGATGCCTCTACTATCCTTATAAGAAAAATGTACTATACTGTAATTGTATGGGTTGGTATGGAATGAAATAGGCTTCAAGCCAGATTTTGTATATAAAAGGCTCAAATTGGCACATGTTGGACCATATACCTAGGGTGTGTGGTATGGCTAAAAAATCTTGCATGCCAGATGGTATGCCATTTGCCAAAGCCTGTGCCAGGCATGCCAGGTGGCATGCCACCAAATCATGTGATAAAATACCTAATTTTGATTGGCCAGTTAAGTTTTGGGCATGCCAATGACCTCCATGCCACACACCCTATATATACCAGTGCCAATTGACTCAGGTTTTGCAACACTTTACTAGTCCAATTGGCATGTGTTTTGGTATAGACATATGTAAATTCACGTACATATGTACCACTATAACGAATACATACTAAAACATAAATTTATATCAATAATCATCAATATAGTGCATATTTGAAAATTAAAGTACAGTAATTGCATATGTGTAAAATTCTGCAAGAAATTTTTTTCATTAAGATACAATAACTTTATCGGTAAAATTTTGAGATATTGCAATTTTTTTTTTAAAAAAAAAACATTTATTGATCCTTTGCATGTATCATTCAATACATGCTATTCCATATGATGTGACAAAATGTGCCACCACTTTTCTGTAATGTCTGTGTCATTTTTAGCCATGCTATAATGTAAAAATAAGCCTCTATGTGCCACACACCCGTATTGTGCATCCCCGAAACCAACCCGAGCCACAACCCATATCATTTTTCTCATAGGGATTAAGAGAATATACTTGTGACAGGTTAATATGAAATCAATTAAATAAAATGAGTGATAGTGTCAAATAGACAAGCCACCGGAAAATATAAATTTTGGGTGCATTTTTTTAGGATTAGAATTTAGGGTAGAATTTATAACAACGATAAGTGGGTTTTAGTGGGTCAAAGAATCCCGATATCATTATGATCTGCGACAATAATTATAGCAGTATATAATATAAAAAATTTTGGTAAAGTAAGTAAAAAACTTATACTTAATGGATCGTACTTATTACTAATTCTGTGAACTTATAGTTGGTAATATTACTAAATGCCCTATAAAAAAAATATCTTGGAATTATTCGGAATTAATTGATTTTTTGTTCAGAAAATCGACTCCATTTCGAACATTTAGAGGATGTTTATTGGATGAATGCGTTTTTTATACATTTTTTATATGATCAAAAATTTCCTATTTTTTGCGTCCCGTACAAACGTCATTATGAAAACAGTACAAATATAAACCCTGTTCGGAAAATCGACTCTGTTCCGAACATTTTTTTGGACAATGCCTACAATAACATTTTCTACAGGGGGATCCCCAGATTTCCGGGTCATAATGGCTGGAATGCATCGTGGTTAGGGTTGGGGTTAGGGCTGAGTTAGGGTTAGTGGAAGCTATAGGCTATAGTAAAATTATCAGCTGGGCACTTTTCACTTAATGAACAACTATTGTTTCATTAGTAAAATCCTTAGTGATCTTGGGGCAAAATTGATCTACTCCGGCCCTTCCGGCAAGAGTTCTGAAGCGTCCAGCCCGGAATTTTTGGGATCTCCCTGTAGGAGTTTACAATAACAGTACAAATATCACGGGTCGCAGCATATAGTTCACCAGCACAAAATAACAATAGTGTAAATAATACGGTAGCTCAAGTAAACCAGAATCAAAAGGATGATCTGTATCACATTAAAATAAAAGGATATACGGACTTCAATAGATGGTTAGATAGACATATTAGTTATAATATTTCCCCCTTCGATATACATAACATAGTCTAGAGGTCTTGGACCTATCTAGCTAAGATTTAGGTCTAAAGTAAAATGGCAGAGATGTCCGAGCTTTATCTTCCCTTTCACTTAATATAATGTATCATTGCAACGAAAATTTGTAAATAATATAATTATATGTAATAAAGAACTGGAGGAAAAGACCTCTCTTAAAAAAAAAAATAAATAAAATAACAGTACAAATTTTTTTTATAGGGATGAGATTAAATAACCTATGTTAAGCTATTCATAGAATTTAAATTTACATGTAAAAAAATTTTAACTGTCTTTCCCTTACTATATTATTTTTTTATCCAACTTTAAACGTCTAAACCTCATCAAAAACTGACAATGAAATATCTGGCAATGAATTAACAACCTTCAATGCATTCTTTAACTCATCATTATTTGGAAAAGCTTCAGAAGCAGCTTTAACAGCTTCAATCAGTTGTTGTTTCGGACCCGACTCACGAGTGAATTTATAATAGCCAAAGGTGGCACCCGCGTTTGTATCAGTAGAAATAGGAGTTTCTTGATAGAATTGAAATAACAAACCGTAAATGATAATACTTATGAGAGAAACTTTACAGAGTTCAAGAATACATACCAGCAAGAAATGTTGCAATAGGCTTCAAAACACCATGCATCAATGCAGGCATCCCTCCTAACACCAACATTTTTTTATTCTGACCATCAGTTTTCCAAACATTTTGCAATAAAAGCATAAGGTATGAATAGGCAGCATTAAATGCAGTAGCAGTTGCAATAATTTTTGGATCAGTATACGATCTATTATGTACAGTGATTAAAGATAAAAGAAAATGTATGCAAAAATTTCAATTCAGCAAGATATGCTAAGAAAAAAATGTAAAATATTTACTTACGATACACTTGGATCACTTATAACAGGCCAGAGTTGATATTCTGATTCAGAAACGTTTTCGATATCTATCTTACAAATTTTAAATGCATTATAATGAGAGTCTTCTTCGATACTTCCATAAAACTTCCCATTAAGACTTGATTCGATTTTAACTGATAAAAATTTCTCTTTACTTCCATTGAAAAAAGTATTATTATCAAAACCTTTGAAATTCCCTTGGATTACTCGTTCGATGGTTTTAGTTCCATTAGATGTTTTAATTACTCCTTTGATTATTCCTTCGCTGATTTTGCTATTTTCTCCAACATTTTCAAATTTTCCTTTTTCAATTGTCCCATCAAATTTTCCTTCAATCATACATTTGTTGTTTTCAATATTTTTTTCAACTATATCTCCACTAATTTTCCCACTAATTTCTCCCACGAGTTTTAATTCGGTATTTTTTCAGCTCTGAGATCACCTTTTAACTCTCCATCGAAATATCCATCAATTTTCATTTCAGACATATTATATTTCCCTTCACCCTGTACGGTACAGATCGAACACAAGCAAATGTTAAATACATGCAGACATGTAAGATTATTATCACTAGGTAAATGGAGGCCATTTAAGGTCCGAAGGACTTATCACGGATCAGTCCGACAATGGGTGTTTTCGGAGAAATGTTTGTTTTTATCAGATCAACCAATCAAACCCCTTAATTTGCGGACACACACACATCCAGGTCACTATGACTCTCCCGTAATGTCCTTCGGACAATTAAAGTAACTATTTACTGATAATACAAACCTGAACAATAATTAAATCGATAGCACGAAGGGCACTATCTAAATCTTTAATAACAATCAATCCATCATTTCCTGTACCCGTGCTTGGAGCATAGCCCATGCCAGGTTCAAGCTGTATTCATAACAAAAATTACATTTCAATAACGATTTATCTACGGACGTCAGTGTAGGAAGGGAATCGATTTGATGATCAATTTTATTCGTTAATTGGATCTAGAATCGATTCTCATTTTTACCATGAACGAGAATCGATTCTTTTGATCAGCTGGGTCTCATTAATGCATTGCAGGTCAATTGATCACCAAACATTTAACGCTGGTCAAATATTAGGAGATTATATCCTCGCAATAAAATTAATAATAATTTTGAGAGGACAAACTCATTATATAATGAACTATATAGCATCATAAAATGAGTAATAAACATTTACGATTTCATTGCTGAAATTTCGAGTTTTTTTTTTTTTTGAAGGTATGATCAAATACTTTTTAGCCGACCAAAAAGATTATTAAAATTTAATCAGACAATATTCTCTGTACTAAGTAAATTGACATTTATATATTAAATAAAGTTGTTCGGAATATCAAATTACATATCTCCAGAAAGTTTTGTAACAACTTTTGATTAAATCGGATTTACATTTTTAAAAACGATTTAATAAAAAGCTATTCAGTTATTCAAATTCTATTTATTATATAATTGTCGGCTTACTATTTATCATTAATAAAGATTTGAATGCCTTCCAAGGATAACCATTTTTAAATCCATGAAAAATTAAAATCTTAAAAGCTCGAAGTTTGGTTTTCCCTTAGCAATACAGTATATAGTTGCAATAGAAATTTGACCAATGAAATTATTTCACATGATAAATGATCCTAATCAGTGTTCATTTTTCACGTGCGCAAAGTATGCGCACGTGTGAGGATCCAATCAAATTAGTTTATTTAAAAATTTGATTGGATCCGCACACTTTACGCACGTGAAAAATAAACACTGATCCCACGAATTACAGGCAAACAGTGCAGCTTCATGTGATATATTAAAACCCGCCCGTTCTAACCGCTAACTAACCAACCACATGAATTGCATTGACTGGCCGTAGGATGACTTGAAGTCAAATAGGTTTTGATCAGACTACCAGGTCATCATTGACATAGTTGGAATCGATGATCGAATGATTTAACTTCTTAGGTCATTTAGGTTTTGAAAAGGCTTAATGGGCTGATCATTTCAATCATTTACCATCATTGACAGGCATGGAGCGAAAGAATTCATACCTGAAAATTTTTTTGATATTTTATTTTCCCCATATCATGAAGTTTTTTGAAGAATTTCTTAATGGTCTGATAGAGATCTCCTATACTTTCAAAATCGATCGGTAAATCTGTAAAATACAAGGAAATTGAAAAATTAAAGCACACCACAGACCTAAGATACGAGTTGTCTAAAAAGAATCATGAATTTTGATAAAAATGTAGAATACCATCACTAGGTTGTTTAGGGTCTGGTTGTTCGATTTTTATAAATGTAGCAAGGGTGTTTTGACAAGTGAACCATAAGTTTATCTAAATTTGGATAATATAGTTGTATGATTTAATATTACGTATAAAGCAACAAACAAATAAAAAGGATATACTCAAAATTATCTTAGTTATAATATTTACCTTGATCGATGTGAGGAAGAGGAGTCGGATAGTGAGGAATCGTTGTCGGGGAATAAAAAATAGGTTGATGTCCTACGAATTCATCGAAATAAAAATTTGTATTGAATAACCATTTTATTATTTCAAACATATATTTCAAAAAAAATATATATATACCAATAGCAACCATAAGATTCGCTACAAGAGATGCATGCAACATTTCTTCTGCTGCCACATGCCGAATTTTATACCTAACCGTGTCGCCAATGTTTGATCCTGGCTTTATCGAATATAAAGCATAGAGGTATGGCGGGATAGTGCTGAGTTCAATCTGTAATGCTATTTTAAGTAAACAGTAGAGCTGTCAGAACATAGTAAAAAGAGAAGGACATGTTAATCCGCAGGTCTCAATGAAATATAAAAAATATTGTATATTAAAGCAGCTCACATTATTTAGTGTAAATTCTTTAACACTAATGTTGTCTTTATTAAGCTCGAAAAGTTCCTGGCGGTCCACCTCAACAAAAGATGTTTCAGTATTGTTGTGAATTGTATTCTCAACAACAAACCCTAATCTGCATGGTTCAAAAGCGTTGTAACAATCTTAAGAGTATAAATACAAGTGTAATTAAATAAGATACATCAACTTACCTGTTCCAAACTCTAACCATATCCATATTACCCCATTGAGGGTAAATACCGTTATTAGAATTGTTTCTAAAGCCGCGGGTCCATTCCTCAAAATCGTCTAATTTAATTATTCCATTTGTAATTTCATCCTACAGTCAATGATGATCAGTTAAATATCTTTCAACTAAAATGAATTACAATAACTTCTAATTACCATTCTTTTTTTCGGAATCGCAATATCAGGTCTCTGAGCTGGCCACCAGTGTGTATTGCATTCATTAAAATCGGCTTGCCAAGGCAAAGCCATATATGCGTTAATATCACCAGGTTGAATTGCGTTATAATTAATTCTTTATCAAAAGATAATATATAAGAAAAGATTAATGAAGGTCCAAATATGTACTGTATGATGTTTGTAATCTTCCATTACCTGAAATCATATTCCTTATGAAATGTGTTTTTGTCATAAGCCACATAGGTCATTTCAATTCCAGGATAGAATGGACCTCCAACACACCACTCAAGTGCAGCTTTGTTAAGAGACTTAACTTGTTGAGAAGTATCTGGAATAATTTCTTCAAAACTTTTGTACACATCTTCACCTACACACGAATATTTGGGCCATCGAGAATCATCATTTTCTTTTGTAAATTTATATTTGTATTTTGGCAGTTTGTCTCCTTTTTTAAATTTATATTTGTATTTTGGTAGTATGTCTCCTTTTATAAATTTTCCATCAGCCCATTTCTGCAATAGTCTAATAAGAAAATATTAACAATAATCCAATGTTAAAATGATATAAAATTATATAACGATAATACTTACAGGTATTGACCACGTGTAACGGTCAAATACGTATCTGGATTGCTAGGTATCGCATTTCCATCATTGCCAGACAAAGGCGGCATGAAATAATCATAAGCTTGCCATCATATTCAAATGTTGATGCAAGACTAGGAGGTTTACGGACACGAGATAGGATGCTTTGTCTGCTCATAAACAATAAAATATGTATTGAGAAAAGGTATACAACATTTTAGATAAGATAAAAATATTCACGTGCCTTAATTCCCTGTATTGTGGGCATGGATCGCTTAATTTTTTTTCCAATTCAGGATTTAAAAAATAACCTGGTTTGTTCAAACCATGACCCATAAAACCTTTCCTATTAACCCAAGAGTTTTTACTAATAGTTTCAAAGATTGGGCGAATATCACGATAATAATTCACCTGTTTGAGAGCACAAAATATGATCAATTCTTATAATAAAAACAAATGATACACCATAATACATATCGATAAGATACAGACCCCGCGATTATTTTCCGCCACTACCGGATCATTTATTGGTTCATCTGGATCAACAGGATGCTGCGTTTCCAATATTACTTGATATAAAGATACAACATTGTGAATGCCCGGTGCAAACTTTGGAGGTGCCACAAGAACCCATGACTTGCCCTCTAAATTTTCATAGTGAGTATATTGAATGCTTCAATCAACAAGTTACAATTACCGTACTTATGTGCCTTACCTCTATTGCGGATCTCCTCACCATTAATAGTTACAGTCGCATCTATGGATCCATCAGAAGTATCATCGTACCAATAATCGTTATTCGCATAATTAGTAATAAAAGCATCTGTAATAATATAGCAACATGAGTGGCTGATTCGAACATATTCTTCTATAATATGAATAACTGCAAACCCTCTTTGACGCAGCCAGACTTCCCCTTCCCACCAATAATCAGTAAGCTTCCTTCTTTTTCCACAATCATCTTGCCCAAGTATAATTCATGGCCATCGCTAGGAACGATATCATTGTCATTATAACGATAAACTCGCCCCTTGAATTCAACACTCTGCCCCGTATCGTTAGAAGCTAAACTATTCTCTTTAATAGCCATCAATGTAGATCTATCGTAGGGCCAGTCTACAGATAATTTGAAAATCTTGATCAAATTGCTCATTAGCTATTCTAAAAAATTTATCGGGACTGCGTACCGGCATTTCGAATAGGCTCCTTATTATTATGGTTCTTGATACCGAAGAAACCTCGATGAGCAGCTTTTTTATTAGCAAGTACCACGGTCCATTTAATTGTCACATCTTCACTAGACTTGATCTCACCCACAATTTTATCATTTTTGTAACCATAAATTCTAAATCTTGCAGCTTGTGGTTTTACCTTGCCATTAATTTTATATTTGAAATTTGGGTTACCTTCTTCATTATTTAACATATATTAGTAATAATTACGTGACATATAAACATATTTTCAATAGATTACAACATGCCTCCGACATACACCCCAGGAATTTCAGAACCAACATAATAATATTCATCGCCAACATCATTATCAGCATTACCGACGCGCGCAACGTTGAGAGCTGGAAAGATTGCAAAGCTATCGAAATCAACAGATGCCATTATGAAGTTGAATGAGGGAGCATACAAGAATTTAGATATATTTGGACTATTTATATAGAATTTTGGTGTAGTATGATTTTCGAATTGTGTACATGAAACTTTTAAAATGTGCATATATTATATGCAAAATTATCGAATGTTTACTACTATATGATAAAATAATGACGGAAAAATACAACTTTAATAATTTTCAAGTAAATAAATCTAAATATAGGAAGCCTTTGCTATAGAAAGGGTCTAAACTCAATATTATACAGTACCATTATTACCATTTAAAGTTAGATAGCAATAATTTATTTAATGTGAAAATGTATTCATTCAAAAACTTTCAATATGAATACGAATGCATACAGTATATATATATCCGAGAGCATGTATTTAAGGAAGGCCCAAAGACCCTTCATGTAAAGTAGAAGTCGTATGCCCCTTTGAATACTTCTCATAATAAAGATAAATCTCATAAAATCATCCTTATAAATAAATTGTCAATCTAAATGTTCTTTCATGATGCTCTCCCAACTAAGTTAACACCTATGAAATATTTGTTTTTTTAAGCTCTTTGATTGGACGTCATATGGCGTGCAACCCAGTATTACGAAGATCAGTATGGTATGGATGTGGTGATTTATCAAACCTACCATACTGATTTGCTAATACTGTATATATATTAATATAATAACAAAGAAGTATGGTCCAGTTTGATAAAATCACATTCATACCATACTGAACTTCCATAATCCCCAATCAACCTTCCATTAATGCAGCTTGTTAGGGAAAAGTGTATTTATGGAAAGTGCATTTTTATTGAGAAATAATTCACACATACAATGTTACATAATTAGATTAGACCGATCAAATGATATACACTTCTGTGCACTTACGCACGGAGGGTTGATCGTATATCATTTGATTAATTATATGATACATTAGGATGCGTGTTAATTCGGGTGCGTGGTGTATTATGTAAATCAAAACTATATCATATGTGGTCATATAATAGAATTTATCCGGCAGCTTACTATGATTTGTCTGCCCAATAATAAAATTAACGAAGTTTAAAATAGTTTAAACTATTGTCCCTGCCCAATAATAAAACTATTGGGAGAAAATCATAGTAAGCCACCGGTTATTGGGCAGTGCCTGCCTGATAACTATTAATTATTAACGAAGATTTTTCGATAGGCAATAAATTTTATAATAATTATTAGAAAATTTTTAATAGATGCACAGACCTAACGGCTGGACAGTTTTGGATAAAATTTTACAAAGACCAATATTATGTCTCTACAAACAGAACTACGGAGCCATTTCTTTAAAAAAGGAATTAAATTAAGTCATTTCTACTTGACTTTTTTAAGTAAAAAAAAAAAGGTACAGTACATTGAAATTTTTCACATTAAATAAAAGAAATGGCTCTACAGCTTTGTTTTGTAAGGGCGTATTACTAGTCTTTGTAAAATTTTATCCAAAACTGTCGAGCCGTTAGGTCTGTGCATCTATTTAAAATTTATTACCTATCGTTAATAAATTTTATTACAGTATATGACCACACATAGTTTTGATTACATAGTACACTGCGCACCCCAATGAGCCATGTGCATTATTTCACGCTTATATGGTATATTTGGATTTTACTAAAACGCACCTATGGTGCTTTTACACCATAGGTCCCGTTTCTCAAAAACGTACTAAGTAAACGAGATCGGGTTCTCTAAGAAAAA